CCCCCCCCCCCCCCCCACCCTCTGCCCAAGCATCCCCACAAGGCTGCAGGGTCTGCACAGTCTGTGACTGCGAATGGCAGGGGCAGATTAAAGCAGGTTCCTTGGGATTCAGGCCTGGCAGTATGTGGAGGCCCGATACAGCAGTGAGAAACCAAGGGCCTTTTTAAAACAGATGAGAGGGGAAGATTAAGCAGGTGGGTCTGGGAGGAAGACAACAGAACTGGGAAGAGACTGTATGGATGGGTTTTGGGCAGGGGCTTATAGTATTGCAAGCCCAGACGTAGGCCCAGCATGGCTCGATCAGCTTCTGGTAAATGCTGTGTTCATTTAGAGACTGCATGCTCTGCAGGTCAATGGGAGCCAACTCAAGCTGGCGCCAAGTGTGCCCAGAATATACTGGCTGAACACGTCCCATAACTGTGATCTGCGATCTGGCCAGATAGCCGCCTCAGGTCAGCACTGTGCACCTGGCTGGTGATGACACACTGAGCTCCTGCTTCCCACGCACCCTTTCCAACAAAGTAACAGAGCACCAGTGGCACAGCCGTCTAAGGATCATTCCTACAGGAGGCTGCAACACTCAGAATAAGAGACTCATACTCTCCCCTTCACAAAGCCATGCTGGCCACATGACAGTAAGGAGCTCCCAAGTCTCAAACATCTTTCCTGCAAGGGGAACCTCCAGCTGTGAAGCCCTCATCTCTCATGATGCTGGGAGCCACACGCGTGTCAAAAGACCATACAGATATGGGAAGAGCTAGCCGGGGCGTGACTGGGTTGGTTTATGTCTCCAGAACCATTCCACTAACATGGGCACTGTTGACCCACAGCATCACGCACCAAGTGTGGAGATTAGCTGTGCCCTAATAAGGTACCCATCCCCCTGCTGTGGTACCAAGCCCGCTTCCTCAGCAGAGGACCTTTGCTATGAACAGCCTCAAAGAACGTAGAATCAGGACAGAAATTACTGAGTGCAGGGGGGAAAGAGGAGTGAAAGGGTACATAAAGCATTCTGTCTGAACCCACGGAAAAAACAACTTACTGGGGAATTGAGAGATACTTTTGCTTAATTCACCAGTGGATTTATCTGTGGAAAGAGAAACATACTGAAAACAAAGGGATATCAGCTAAGGGGAAAGACTGGGCTGGAGATCTCAGCACACAGGTAGGTAAAAGTTGAAAAGGAAGCGCTAATTAGCACAAGGACCACTGCCTTCCATTAATAGCTTGTCACTGTTTCCTTGATGTTGCTGAAGGCAGGGAAGTTGGTATGTGTGATGCTTACCTGTCTCTATCTCATTAACAGGAGGCAGGGTGAGAATAGACATTTATTGCCTGCATCACAGATAGAGACGGGGCCCTTTTACTCAGTCTAATTAATGAACTGACTTTTGTACAGGTAGGGAGGAGGGTGAAGATATTTGAAAGACACCCACAAAAACATATGCTTACACATACACAGTACAAACACAAACACACTTATATAGCCATGAATGCGGGCACACAGACACACCCATCAGATACAGATGTCAGGATTTAAAAACCCTTGGGTCTGACAGACCACAGACATTTTTACCAATGGCAAATACACTGCTGACTGGAAGAAAAAAAAATGCTTTTGGATCAGCAAAGCACATGCAAAAAGGAGCCAGAGCTATCTTATTCACTGGAAAAATAAAACAAAAGAAGTATCATCCACTTGCCTTTAAATAAATAAAAACTAAATACATTGCTTGACCCAAGTCCAGTTTGCTGCAAAAAGGGGGGATAATCTATTGTCTGTTCACAGATAACAGAATCCAAAGTATGGAACTTCCCAACAAAGAAATAGGCCATTCCAAGCAAAGATAAATCTGCATTGCGTCTAATCACTTCCAAAGTAAAATATGGACAATTCTTCCAGCAGTTAAAAAAGATTAGATCTCCTGTTTAATATACAAAGGCCTCCCTTCTCCTCTCGACACATGGAACAGCTCCCATTAACGACAGTGGAGAGAACAAGTATGCAAATCAAGGAGAGAATGCAATGGCAGCAAATATTTGTGAGCTTGCAATGTACATCTGTGTGGAGTGATTACGCGGGGAGGGGGGATTGTTCATGTGTACATATGTTCCTGTGGGCATCTATTTCTTCCCGATTATATAAATCCAATAAACAAGCTGAAGATTCTTCAAGATACAACCAAAATGCCCTAAGAAACAAACCTAGGCAGAACTGAAGGCAAAGGAAACATCAAGGCCATTTCTCAGGGAACAAAGAAAATTCCCCCTTCAGCATGCCTATGTCTTCTTGACCATTTGGCTAAGATCAAGTGTAGGATCAGTTTTCTCTCCCCATCTATCCAAAGGAATGCAGCCAATCATCTAGTAAGTCTTTTTTCCCCTCTAGAGCTCCGACGTTACCATATGTGCAACTCCCTGACAGTGCAGATCTGATTGCAAACAGAAACATCACAACTAATTTTAAAAAAAAAAGAATTAAAAAAGAAAAAAACCTTTAGCTTGCAAAATCCAGCAGTTGAAAGAACTGAAATGCCAAAAATCACAGCTGCCCATTCAGCCCTGGAAAGGATGTGGAAAAAGGCAGAGATATTGTGCTAAAAATAGTACGTGATCATGTAATTAAAGACGCTATCACGGCACAGGCATGCATGGGGGTTGCAGTAAGGTTGCATGGGCAATCTTAAATCTGGCACCTCTGAACTTCCAAACGCTTGACTTTGCAACCTAAATAATGTTCATTTTAAATATACAGATAAAGCCCTGGAGTGAAAAAAAAAAAAATCATTGTGTCCAACCGTAACATTCCTGCATTGTGAGCAGGAAGCCTGAAACCTCAGCACAGACTTCTTGAAATACAGGACTAACATTACCTGGAAACAGAAGAAAGCTGTTCTCCTAGAGCGGGGTGGGGGGGAGAACTGGACCAGTGAGTCTAGTGAGACAGTCTCCCTCTCTTTCTCTCTCCTGCTCCACATCTCCCCGTGCCAAGAACTGGTAGCCCCTGCGCTGCCTCCGAATTTTGGAGATGGACGCCTGGAGCCAGGAGCTGGGGCCCTGAGAGGTTTATAATGGGAGCTTTCCCTACCGTTTCCCCCTTCCATGCCCACCTGCCAGAGCTGTGCCTGCTCTTCTTGCAATGTGGGCAGGGGCATGTGCATAACTCTCTAAAATGTTCACATTCAGTTATTATTTGAGGAGGAGGCGAAAATTTCCCTGAGGAGGGAATGGGGTGTGGACACATCTTTTATAACAGTTTATAACTCAGCTAAATCTGAATGGAATTTCACAGGACAAAGAAAAGGCAGTCCTCCAAGCCCCAGAGCCTCCCCCTGCTGAATTTCAAGGGTCTGCAGCAAACAATAGAGGTGTCAGAGTTTCTCAAAAAAAGGCTACAAGAATCTTGTGTAATAGAAAGTATTAGGCAACTGGTATATGGAAGTCATTGCCAGCTCCTCCTGGAATACAGGGCAAGGATACGTTGCATAGTCGGTCTTAGCCACTTTCATGTGGAATCTAAGCTCTGTGATAACCAGACTTCTCTACCGTATTTGGAGCAGACTACATTTTTCCTTATGTTAATTATAAGAGAAATGAGGGAGCGTGCAGGGACCCTAAAAAACTCATGTCATTATTTTTCACATCCAAGAAGCTGTGTTCACTGAGATCAAGCTGCCCCAAAATGTGACCTAACAGAAAATGCACCAAGAAATGATGTGCCTGTAAGTTATTCCTGCTTCCATGTTTGGGTTAAGCTCTGTAATGAAGTGACTTGTAG